GGCAGGATCGATTTCGGCGGAATCCGTGTTGCTGTGACACTAGGATATTGTTGCTCTCAAGATATCCCATGAGCGCCCCTGCAATTATACTTTCCATTTCTTTGGATAAAACTGGGAGGAGAGTGATTGGACGGTAGTTCGAGGGTTCCGAACGATTACCACTTTTTAAATAGAAGTGACTACTCCATGTTTCCACATTGTGTGAACCTGCATTTCGTCGAGACAATGTTGAAAGAACCGAGCTAATGGTTCGGCAACGTTCATGGCCGCTGTCTTCAAGGCCTTCGGTTTGATGTCGTCCATACCAGGTGAGCTGTGCACGCGCAATGACATTAGCGTTTTCATCACACTGGCTGCTCTGAACGATACGTGGTTTAACCCTGGTGGCGATGGAAGCTGTGTAAAAAGCGCATGAAATGATGATTCACTCCGGAAAGTATGGATGAAGTGTTTGCAAAGCACGTTGGCTACATCTTGTGCGGTTTGCGCAAGACCATTTGTTGCACGTAAAACCAGGATCCCGGCGCTGCACTCTGCGGAGCCTGTTGACGTGTCTATACAGCAACTTGGGATTTGTACTGAATTTCGCTGCTAAGTTCTATTGATGCTGGAGTTTGTCTTCGCGGATCAACTTGACGCAGTGGTTTCGTTGAGTTGTGTAAGCACCCCAGGTCAGGTTACTTGGACAGACTTTGTAAGCGCACAAGGCTGAATCCTTTAAGGCCATGCATTTTCTAGTACCGCTCCTCGGGAAGGAATTCACTTGTTTCGAGCGAAGGACCTTGTGTTCTGACCCATTTGCCACTAGCTCAGTGAATTGGGTGACGAACAGCATCCAGGCGACATCGGGAAGCTTCTTGGCCAGGAAGGACCAGTCGGTTCCTTAAACGAATTTGGGCAGTATATCTTAATGTGTAACGACATGGGTTTCCACGTTTTTCTCACTGATGTACGCCGAGTAACAGACGCAACGAAAGAGCAATATCGCGTGATCGCTATGGCCAAGTGGTGCATCTACGCTCACGGTGTCAACCATTAGTTCTTCGTTGGAGAGTACAAGGTTCAAAACAGAGGGTGTGTCACCCGTTCGGAATCGCGTGGGTGAGGTGACATGGTTGTACACAGGTACATCGGCGATCAGCTCTTGCAAACCAGCCTTGAATTGTTCGCTGTGCGATGCTGGAACTTCGATTGCGTGCAGGTTGAAGTCCCCCACCAGAAGGACGTGACTGTATGGTCGTGCGAGGACTCGTTTCATCGCAAAGGCTAGCCATTGATCCACTTCTAAGGTGGACACTGGAAGGCGGTAAACTATTGCTAGTAAACACACCACTACGTCTTAGCTGCATATGACACCAAAGAGCGTCGACGACTTTCGTTTCTGCTTCCTCAATGACATCCAGATGCAGGTCGAATGGATAACAAAGAAGCTCTCCCCCTCCTCTGCTAGGTCGATCGTTTTGTATGGAAGTCTTGCCGGGCAGTGCAATCCCAGCATCCGTGATTTCCGTGGTCAGCCATGTTTCGGTAACCATAAATAGGTCCCAAGGCGTGGAGACCTGACGAATACGAAGTTCGGTTAGCTTGCTGAGAAGACCTTGTCCATTGGTATACAAGCAGCTGAGAGCATCAGTGGTCAGAAGCGTGGTTCTGAATGCTGGTGTTCGGTGAGGGTCTATGCCGACCCTTGCGGGGTCGGCTGTCGGTCGTTCTTTGTAGGACCAATGACGCAGGCCCTAGCGCCAGATCAGTTTGTTGTATAGAATTCTCAGCGCCAACAATAAGGTGACCATCCTGTTCTCCTTCAGCTGTCGGTGTGTCTTGGCATTGTCTCTGTTCTGAGTTACACGGTGACAGAATTGTATTGGTAAGTTGCTTGCTCAATGTTACATTGTCTATCTGTGGTCCGGTGCCTATTGCCTTTATACGTATTTCGGCTGGTAGCATTTTACGCTTTTTGTACCACATTTTGATCACACCCTTTGACCACACCCTTTGTAGTTAGGCAATAGCGGTAACTTTGATGTCGAATTTGCGATAACATTTTCGAGTGAGAGTACTTCACGAATAAAACACCATTCATTCCAGTCATGCGCTTTGACCTCTAGCTCACTTAGTGACTGGAGCTCGGGGACACCGTGAACAAGGATAGATTTCGTGTCTTGATGTTTACGGAAGTCACTCGGATTTTGCTTGCGTTTCTGGCGTTCGCTTCAAAGAACATCTGGAAAAGTTCGAAGATTACATGTGGTGGTACGGAGGCAAGTGGCTGACAAGAGAATTGCCTCTGCATCATTGCCTGACTGAACTGTTACCTGGAGTAATCGCGGTTCACCGTAGTGTACAGAGTTTGGGTGACGGACGAGACGCGTCATACTGACAGGTTTAGCCTGAACCCCTATTAGTTGACACAGGGAGTCCCAATGTTTTTGTCGTCTAATATTATATCATTTATGGAGTTCGCTCCAGATTCAATCACATTGGAGTATACAACAGTTAGAGACTTATGGTAGTGTTTCATGTTCTCATTTTTCGTGGGACCAGTGGCTGCTTTCTTCGGTTGGACAAATGATGGGGTCTTGAGTCCGGTGATGGCATTGGCAGTAGAAATTCCTTTGGCAGCGGGCGGGGTTGCAATGGGTGGTGTCTCCTTCACTTGGGTAGCAACAACGGATGCCAAGGTTGTCGGCTCTCTAACAGTGTTTAGTGTAACGGGTGATTCTGTTGAATAATGTGTGGCAAACGCATCTTTATGAGCAGACGCTAGTGTCGGGGTGGCTAACTCTGGATCGTTACTCTTACACTGTGCTGAATTGGAGCTTGATGTTGAGCATCGAATTCGAGGCACTGATTGGTCTGGTTTCTGTGGGAAAGTTTTCACGGCTGCTGTCTACTCTACAACCTTTGTCAGCTTATCGTACTTCCGCCAACAGTTATACATCTGATAAAACACCAAAGGGCAGTCCGTCTCTCAGGAGTTCATCAGTAACGCACATTCACCTAAGCAAGTGAGAAGCCGAGTTCAGGACCTATTGCAAAGTAAAGCAGCATAAATTGGAACAGGATGGACGCTGAAAAGCAGTGGGGCGTAGCAGCAACTGTCATGCGGAGGCAACAACTCCCACACTACATCGAATCCAACCAATGGCCTTACTGGCTGTTCAAGGCGGAGCACTAAGTAGGATAGAGTAGGAAAGAGATGTGTGGTAGAAATCACGGCTAGCAAGAAGACGGTGTGAAGCGTGAACAATTGGACAAGACTAAACACACGACAACACTGAGGAGTGTAACATTATCGTGAAGAACTCCCACACGCAAGTCGAGTACGGATGCTTCGATTTATCACGCATTGTGTTTTGCAACAAACGCAAACGAAACCAGGTAATGAGTGCCTTATGCATTGTGAAAATCGGTTTCGTAGTAATCTCTTAACTAATACCTAAAACTACGCAGGTGAGATATATTGTGGTTGCGTAAAATCCCGAGGAATGGCGATTGGAAAGATACTCCAACAATGGAAAATTCAGTGATACCATGCTACGACATAACCCCGCTGGTCAACCGACTGCGGACTGCGTACCTCTGTCCTTGGCCAGGTAGCAAAAACGATGTCGCCAAGTCGGAATGCCAGTAAGCAGTCACCATATTATATTATCCCAATCAAGGCTGCAAGGTCGCGAGTGATTGATCTCCGTAAAATGCATGTATAAGACGAGGCAGAAGGGGGCCAGGAGCTTTCGGCTAGGATTTATAGTTTACTATAGTACCCTATTGGGCACCTAAACAGATTGTATCCTATGAAGCGCATAGTGCCGGTCCCATGGAAAACCAGTAATGGCAAACACGCAGTCGACTTCGCTCATCCTAACGCTGAGGAAAAAATGATTGAAAATACGGCAGTGTGGTCACGTATGTTAACCATGTGCTCATCTCGTCTAAGTGCTTGCATTGTCAACGGAAATAGACGATCGTGCAAGGACTTCTCATGCTACGAAGTTGGGTACAGGAAACCGAAAAGTATCGTTGTAGAAACAGTGCCCAACAAAATTGATTTAATCACCAGTGCTGAGGCAAGATGCTTCAAGTCTAGTGTTGCTTAGTATTAGGAAGAGCACCAATGTCTCGAGGGAGTCCAAATGTTGCCCGTAAATGGGCTGAGTTCCAAAGTTAACATGAGACCACGAAGACGAGAAACATCGGTGTTCTCTGGACGTGATTCATTGACGCAGCTACACATCACATCGTTTGTTTGCATAGGTTAGGTACTGAGGGCTAAGATGCTTAATACTTACAAATACAAAAGGAATATCAATGCATAGTGGAGCATCAACGAAACGTTAGTGATATTACCGCGAAAAGACCGTCACATACAGTACAGAAACTGGGATTAAAAAACTCATTATATGAGACACAGAGATGACGCCGAAAGTACGTGTACAAGGTAAAGTGGAAGCGAAATTAGAAATAAATGAGGCATTGCAGTGAAGAAAAAAGTGTGGGTTACTCAGAATGCAGATCACAGAAACCAACGATAACACATGCTGGCAAATAGCAGAAAGACAGTATGCGATACAAAACCTATAATACCAAGATCGAGAGGCATACAAACGCTGTTCCACGGAATGGTCAAACAGGTCAAAGTATAACCAGAAGGGGCCTGGTGTAAAAACGCAGATAATGTGTGCATGGTTTTATATCGTTGTGTAAAAGTGATGATCAAATGCAGGAGTTCAGACTGGGCAAAGAATTTGGTGTTAAACCTAAGATGATCTCCTATGCAAACGGAGAATACGAGGAGAGTTGTTTAGTACCGGTGACAGTTGGAGGTATCAATCTACGTGAAATGTGAAATAACAGGAGTTAGAATAAGAATGTTACTTAAACTAATGTTAGCTCTACTTCATACTACTAGCACTAGGCCTAAACTAGTTCCCCGGTAAATGGGACGACGACGAAAAAAGAAAGGTTCACATTAATCGTTAGCCCCATAGAAGACTTACCTGCACTTCCATCCACCAATCGTCTAGTACCCGAACCAGGTGTCAAAGAAGGTTTATTGCAGATACAACGTCGCGTGGGCGGTGCGGTAATGTGCTCGTCGTATTTTCTTCGACAAGTATGACATACAAGGGGCAAAGAACCGCGTGTAACCGGGCCACGCTGATTATTGGTGACCTCAGTTCTTTTCTGCTGGAAGAGCATGCTGCGTGGTTCGCAAATACCTAGTAGTAAATACAGAGCCACATAGGTATCCGGCTTAAGGACGTCGGATCCAGATGATGACCGACTCAACAGAGAATGTGCGCATATCTAAAAACCAGTAATACCTTGAGTTTACAGTGGCAGACTGGGCAGCATCTTGGATTACACTGAAGTAATAGCCTGATTGGTGCTTAGAGTATGGCCAATGGACAAACAGTGAAAATCGATAGATGGCTAACTGGTCATTCGCTCGCACTGAAGTTGTGGTAGCATAGAGGCGTTGCCTGTTCCGACTTCACACCCCCTAAAAGAATAGAGCTCTCTTGTTCTAGTGAGTTGCCTAGCTGGTTCTGACGCTTGTGATGAAAATGCTTGTAATTATCAAGCCACGATTTTTAAAACGTCCCAAAATCGCATTCTGAATCCTCTGAGGTAATTGTTACCAACCTTTCTCCGAAATAATGTCGGTGATAGTGTGTTTATTTTATTAGACATCCCAGTTCGTTATAAAACTTCTCGATTTAGCACGGGGAACACACAATCTGAAAGGTACAGTAATTCAATGCAAGTCGCATTAAAAATGAAGCGAGATAGGCACTCCGTTCCGAAAAGGAAATGGCCATCAGAATAGAAATAGACCAGCGTCCCTGAATGACCGGCAAATCCTGAGACTCACTGCGACTGAAGATGAAGTAGGGGAATGCCCGAGGGACACCGGTAGTAAACTGGACATAGAACTCACACAACGAACCTTTCCAGTGGTTACATGACCAGCGAGAATGAAGTCAAAGATGAAGTGACGGGTACCTCATGTACAGAAAAGTTAAAAACCCAGAATAAATATGTAACATCATTTGTAGGCAATAGGAGTGCAAATATATCAGGCGCATCTGACGAAGATTCGTTTTCTACTCGCGAAACAGAGTGAGTTGAGTATAGCCGGGCTATCGATTGCTTGATAACAATAGACAAGGATGAAGGATGCAGCGAAGGAGGTGCACTTCCAATGAGGATTCGAAGTACTTTTAATTTTTTGAGTGCTAGCTACCTACTAAATATCAAGAGAATATCACCCTGTAAAAACACGCTTTTGACTGCAGGGTACCCAATCACGCCAGCAAAAACACAGAGTATGGAAGTTGGTTTTGAGCAGAAACTAAGATCGAGCAATCAATGGGTGGTTTCGCATTTTCGTAAAGGGAATCCCGCAAGACGAGGGCAGAGTGTACCCACGGTCTAGTGATTGTTAATGCACTCGGGGTATTGCACATACGTACACACGAAGGAAATTTAGATGGGGTCAATATGCCGCTTTTCGTTGCCATCGCTGCTGTGCCTTGATATTTCAAATGATGATGATTCATTTCTCTGCTCTCTGGACTACCCTCGTAGTGAGCGAATGTAGGACTGGTCCGTCACAGGATGTGCAACATCAAGAGACATCAAGCTCATACGCCCAAGTCAGCGTCCAATAATGCTTTTCCCTCTCAGTTTTGCCGTATCATTGGCAACGGCGATCGATCCCGAAGATCTGGACAGGACGCTAGTAAGCATTCTATGTTGGTATAAGCCCAATAAGAGCAACCACCAGTACACGGGCGAGAAATAGAGTTACAGTCATTAACGGAGTAGGTTTGGTGCATACGACTAGATTGTAAGACTAAGAGAGAAGCAATGTGTACGCACCGCCTCACGGTGAGCACTGCGTGATACACAAACTCGTTTCTTAAAGTAAGCTGGTAAAGAAGTCATTAGAGAAAGACAAAGCATTGAGTGAACAGTTTTCTGGTAGACGACAGAGGAGAATGAGTCACGATAATTGACAATTCGCAATACTCTAAGGCAAAGTGAAATTGCGACACAATTCCGAAATAGCCTCCGGCCTCTTTCAGTCAATCGCCACGAGCTTGTTCGTCAGGATGTAGAGAATCAACGGAATACGGCATGGAGAGCTAAGTTAACGCAAAACAGCGCCTGTGCTTCGCAAGAATTACGGCTACGGTGGTGCGTAATTTTGGGAGGAAAATTTTTGGAAGATTGCCAAACGGCCTAGGGTTATCGATAAAATGGGTACTAGTTACGAACTAGTGCAGCTCAGCCCTCAATGACCTGCATAATACTGCAGAGTAGCAGAGGTGCTTATTTGTTCACTGAGCTGAGCAATTTGATTGCCGACGTTTCATTACAAATCGAAGTGATAAATCCCTTTTGATTCGTCAGAGGCTGTTGCTGTTAACAAGCTACTTGTGACTATACACTGACGATTCCACCCTGTTTGACAGTGAAATGTCTACAAACAAATGGTTCGGCTCGGCGAGCAAATCAACATCTCTACTGCCAACCTGAGCTACAGATAAACGGCATTATTGCGGAGTAGCCTCGCTCACGCAGAGAAACAGATCAGTAACTCACTTAGTCCAGTCATCCCTTTCTTCATTGTTCGGTGGTCTTGACCAGTTGCCCGTGAGAGTAGGATCGTAAGTACTAGGCAGAACTGCGATAGATGGAACGCATATTGCAGATGGCCCCGGAAACCACCTTCCTGAGAAACACAAGCTCTGATTAGTCCAACCCATATGTAGTGTTTCACGGAACGCATCGGCCAAATTTTTTACACTAACTAATTAAGTGTGATAGCAAACACATGCGAAAAGACACTGCAGACACTGTTTGTTAAGTCAGCGGAAATTCCAACTTCGCAAAAGCAGCAACAAAAATCGGATTCAGTAAATGTTGTGCAATGCGAAAAGATAGAAAGAACACGGTACACCGAAGGTCATCACATGACCTAAACAAAAATAAGTCCGGCAGGTAAAATGCGACTCAAAATGGTAAAAGCGGGTGGCTGCCGTGAGTGAAATGAAACACATGTCGCACTGGCATGTAAACATCCAGCGGAGACGAAATGGAATCGGTCTCACTCTATCTGATGGACAGGTACGTTTGTTTAGTTACAATAGCAGACAACCAAGCGTAGGCGTATGCGGTTAGTTGAGTCCACTGACGCGTCGGACATATCAGTAATATGCTCAAGCAACTTCGTTACAAATGACCACAAAACAAGTAATGAGCAAAGTTGACGAAAAAGACTTTTGTCCGATAGTAAGTTGTGGAGAAATACAGCTCGTTCAGATGACAAAGAAGGACTGGACGCGCAACATAGTAGTGAAACGTAGCTCGTTGTGTGGATAAAGTCCGATACGATGGAGGACAATTTAGGGTAAAACTAATGCAAGGGATTATGAATGTGGCTTCGTCCGAGCGACGGATCAACCGAAAGATACGATACCAGGTTGACAGAACTTAACGCAGCAAACTTTATGCTTGACACAGTTCAGATAATAACTTAAACAAATGATTTCCCACTTTCAAGACGGTTGAAATGCTTGGTAGAAAAGACAGCTAAGAAGAAGCACATCGCAATAGACTGATGACCAAAAGGCTTACGCGCTCACTGTGTAATCCGGAGGTCACAAGTTCGAACCTGCGTAAGTGCGAGCAGCCTCGTAGGCACACCCACTCGAAACGCGACAGGCGGTAGCCGAGTGACCACCGAACATCAGTATCTCTGATGTCTTTCGTTCTTTTCACCCAGAAGGCAACTCAAACACTCAATATATGCGCAATAGATTTTGCCAAGAATTGTGGCATAAATTCTACGGGGGAACCGTAAGTAAATTAGCCTACCGGTGAACCTCAGGGCGCATAAAGTTGGGGTGTGGCTGGTGGTCGCTGAATGGATCAAAGATATGGCTATTGCGAGGCGAAGAGATTGTGAGGCTCTCTCAGTAGTTGCTTCAAGTTACTACTACGAAGTTACTACTACACACTCAAGATATCATTTGGATTGTGAACAAAACATCTGCAAAGAAATTGCACAACTACACAAACAAGTCAACATGTAAGGGGATCCCTGCCATTAACCCTCGATAGCTGTGCAGTTTCGTTCGTGTCTGGTTGGAAGACTTAATGAGCAATACCAATGATTGCCAGTTGACAGGTGATAAATAACAAACTGAGGTTGCACTAGATCACCTTCCGCGGCTGAACTACATAAGCTGGCTTGAGCAAGTCCTCCAGTTGACTGTTGACCTTCTATCTACATGTACGTTGATTTTAGAAAATTCCCCTGTTTACGTGGGGTTTCGGCACGTACAAAGAATGTTGCAATAAAAGGCGTGAACTAATGGAACCGGTTAGTTAGTTGGGGCGTTGAGGACCGTCTTCTTGGAGGCAAATTTACGAGGGACCTAGTCTGGCATGGTACATCGCGAAGTCAGCAGAGCTGTCATATACACTCTCTTATCCCTTGTTACCAACCTCACTATCGACAAATGTATCCCTGGTTTCCCGACACATTTTACCGATGGGATCGTGCATATTATCTGGTTGTTCGGAAAGTAATTTCGTTTTTACCAACATAAAAGTTGATTGTATTTTTTCAAAAACCAACTTCACACTTAAGCCGCATTGTTTTATATTTTAACAACTGATATAGCAAGGCTTGCTTGAGAAAAAGTTAAACTGATTCCATGCAGTAGATTTTGTTTGGCGCCCTTTCAACTATGGAGAGTGAAAAGCATCATTTTTGGCAGATTTTAATTTTTCCTGCCAGGATGATGGCAAAAGGTATTGGATCTGAATAGAGAATGTATGTTACTAAAATATTCATTCACTAGAAGAAATTCGTTTTCATTTTTTTTCAAAAAATCAAAATTACTTTCCGAACAACCAGACAATTAAAATGCAGTTTTTAATTGTTTGGCGTAAGATCACCACGTTATTGGCAGTGCGAGTCATTGCGACTGGATCCAATACATATTGATAAACGGATCACCAGTTGAATCTCCGAAATGGACCGAAGGCGAGGTCCCAGAGGCCCCTTCACTCTTAATAGAGGTTGCTCAGTTTACAATACAATACAGATTGCTGGATCAATCAACGTGCTCACGAGAATTCCGCTTGCCAGTAGGTAACTCCGCTGATACTTTGTCATTCCGACACCAATCATATGAGACCGAATTGAATAGACCTAGTATCCTACAGATATAAGCTACCTGTACAGGGTTGGGAAGCGAGCAGTCAGTCAGTATTCGTAGAACAAAAACCAAATCGGAAAG